TCTCTCTCTCTCTCTCTCTCTCTCTCTCTCTCTCTCTCTCTCTCTCTCTCTCTCTCTCTCTCTCTCTCTCTCTCTCTCTCTCTCTCGTCGGTGGTTGTCATTGAATGGCCATGACATGAACATCGTTGACGTCCATGGAGACGCTCCTGTCTGTGCAGCAGCACGGCTCACAAGCCTGAATTTCGGCTTCAAAGCGAACGGAGAAGAAGGTAGGCAAGCCTTTTTCCATATAATCGATCAATGGATTAAACCGTGGTAATCGTCCGATCAGTGGATCAAACCAAACAACCAATCGATCCACCAGTCAACACTCCAAGCGATAAATAATCAACAGATTAATCAATGGTCAAGCTCACCACTGATGCCTATAAAGACATGTCAAGCTCACCATAGATTAATCAGCGATCAATCTCTCCTTGACTTTGTCCTCCTCCACATGTTAAGATATCAAGCTCACCACTGACGCCTATGAAGACATCATCATGCCCACCACACAGCTGTGGACTGGTTATCCACCAAACTAATAAAAAGTGAAAGAAAGCATGCATTCAGGGAAAATAACCAAAAAAAAAATAAAAATAAAAAAATGGCGGGAACTCCGACAGCGCTTCCGCATTCGCCACGCGCCACCACATCCCGTTCAACTTCGTTCCGCGAGTGAGTTGTAGTAGAAGTTCCCGTCTTTTTTAATTCCCGCCTTTTTTCTGCGTAAAAGCGCAGAAAAGAGATGGGGGGTGTCGTTCTAAAAGATAGCAAATTTGAATGTAATAGAAAAAGTCATAGAAGTAAATATTCTGTTACGCCGAAAAAAATAAAACATTACCCGCACATGTCGCCTTTGTTTTTTATCCCCATGTGCATATGTCAAACTATCAAGCTCACCACTGACGCCTATAAAGACATCATCATGCCTAGCAGACTGTGGTGGACTGCTTATCCACCAAAAACGAAGATATATTGTCCATGTCACTGGGCTTCTCCCCACAACTCAATTTTTTCAATTTTTTCTTCGTTTTCCTTCAGCCGAGTATTTGTCGTGAATGTCGAATTTCAAAGCTTTTTCTAACCCCACCTTGGCAGATACGACAGCTACGGTGAGGACGATATATATGTGTGTGTATATACATAAAAGGTGAATCGGGCGTAAAATCCGCCAAACAATCGTGCAAGCACGCAAACAAGCAAATCAGTAAGACAATCAAACAGACAAAGGAATCAATCAAACGACTAATTAACCGACCGATTAATGGATCGAAGCATACTATGACCGATCAACCAATCAGTGGAATGGAACAAACTAATCTATCAACCAACGTTACCAACCAACCGATCAGGGGATTGAACCTAACAACCCTTCCATTAACCGATCAACGGATCAACCAACGGATTAAATTCGCATTATTGCAAGTGAATATTCAACTGATTAATCAAACGATTTATTGAACAGGTTAATCAATGGAATAATCAAAAGATTTCTCAAAGGACAAAAACCAGGTGGTAATCAAACAATGGATCGAAGAAAAAAGTTGATCGATCTAAAGACAACCACCACTACATTCTTCCCCCGAAGACAACGTGCGGTCAGTATTGTGGTATTTCGACACAAAGATACCCCGGACGTTGTATTCGGGGAAAGAAGGTAGCCGAGCCTTTTTCCATAGATCCGTGGTTCTCCTATAAATTCTGGCGGTAGATGTGATGCGGCGCAGCTGCCGAGCACGCTGGCCCCAGATTAATGAATAGATCGAACCAAGTTACGATCCATCAACGGATCAAACCAAATAGCAAATCAATCAACCAATCAACAGATGAAGCCAATAATCAACGGATTAATCAGCGAATTAATCAACGGATTAATCAACGAATCAATCAACGCATTAATCAACGATAAAATCAACGGATATAAGCAGATTGTAATCGATCATGAGATGGAACCACACTAATCGACCGATCAGTGGATCGAGGCAAACAACTGATCGATCAACCAATCAACAGTCGAAGCGATTAAGCGTCAACAGATTAATCAACGGAATAATCAGCGAATGAACGATTTAATCACGAAATTAATCAACAGATTAATCAACGAATTAATCAACAGATAGAACCAATTTAAAGCACAACCAGCGTAGACATTAATCTCAGCGCCGTGACATATCTATCTCTGTGTTACTGCACATCTCTCCACAGCTGTCCACATGCACGAAACACGAAAATCGTGGCAGTGTATCTTTACATGTTGTACGGGAAGATTCACTCTTGTTTTGCACATTCCGAGAGCAGGGGAGCGAGGCCCATTGTCTCAACCATAGCAACAAATAAGCAGTGGATGTACTTGCGGCAGCCTCTCGAAAACAGAAACATAAATCATGTAATCTCCGTAGACGCTGCAGGGAGGGGGAAAACAAAACAAAAATAAAAAAGATGCAAAAGAAGACAAAGAAAAGAGACAACGAATCCCAGCACCAGCAACATATCGATCTCTATGTCATTTTCTCAACCATAGCAACAAAGAAGCACGTCCTTTCATTCTCGCAGCCTCTAGAAAAACAGAAACAGAAGGTTTGTGGTGTCCATGATTGCCGCAGAAACATAAAAAAAAAAAAAAAAAAAAGCGAAGGTGCAAGACATCCATATTGCCCATGATGGCGAAAGCCATAGAAAGATCTTCATGTTCGTCGCTCTTTTGTCCAGGCATTTTCATGACGAGTCCAACTGTCTACGGCAGAAAAGAACTTGTCACCTGCTCCGGCCCGCTACCATGACCGCCGCATTCGTCAAAGTAGCCAGAAGAGACGTCGGAATCGTCCAACCACTCCCCCGATCCCATCCAGCTGCAGCGACGTCTTGAAGTTGAGGCACTGGCCACAGACGTCTGGTGCGGAACAGAGGCAGGTGCAGGCTGGAGCTCTGCATCAGGTATCTGCAAAAGAGTGACCTGCCTTCGCAATTCCACTGTGTCGTCATGCTCTTCTTTGTATCTCTGCGCCTCCGCACGTGCCTCGTCACGTTCACGAGCAAGATTGTGCACCCCGCGGACAAGTCACTGTTTGTCCGCTGCCAACCTCGCCACCTCCTCAGACAGGCGAGCGATCTCGCTGCATGCCGCTGTGTGCTGGTGCTCTAGCTGCTCGTACCTCGCAATGGCTGCCGCCAGCAGYCCGCCAAGCTCCCGGGAACAGCGATCCAAACGTGTCTGTGTGCRGACAGCTATGWCCTTCATAGACTGCAYGTCGGGAGGAAGGGACGAAGTATTCGAACTATCTCCCTGTGTTTCTGCCATCTCTCTCTCTCTCTCTCTCTCTCTCTCTCTCTCTCTCTCTCTCTCTCTCTCTCTCTCTCTCTCTC